TAACATTGACACGTGGAAGACGTTATGAACTTGCGACAAATTCGGCGGCAAGGCGAGACGATATGCTAACATCCCAATCCTTTCCAAAATCTCGAATGGGCCTATATACCTTGGACTTAGTTTCCCTTTCTTGCCAAATCGAGATAGTCCTCTCATCGGCGAGACCTTAAGAAACACATGGTCGCCAACTCGAAACTCCAACGGTCTACGCCTTCGGTCTCGCGTAACTTTTCCGACGGCTGATCATTTGTTCTTAGCCTTTCCTAGGATAATCTTTCTGTTTCTACCGATTGTTGAACCAACTCGGACCCGTTATACTTCTTTCCCCCACTTCATCCCAACACAACGGTGTTCTACACGCTCTGCCATAAAGTGCTTCAAACGGCGCCATCCCAATACTCTGCTGAAAGCTGTTATTATAGGCGAATTCGACTAAATGCAGCTGTTCCTCCCAATCACCTTTAAAATCCAAAACACATGCTCGCAGCATGTCTTCCAATGTCTGAATCGTCCTTTCAGACTGGCCGTCCGTCTGAGGATGATAGGCCGTACTGAATTGCAACTTAGTCCCCATGGCCAATTGCAGACTTTTCCAAAAATTCGCAGTAAACCGGGGATCACGGTCCGAAGTGATCGATACCGGTACTCCATGCAATCGGACTACCTGCCGTACATATAAATCTGCGCATTTTTCTAGCTCAAAATCCATTCGCACTTTGCCGGGAAGTGCGGCCGACTTGGTCAATCGTCCACTATCACCCAAATAGAGTCGTGTCCCCTCCGGCTTCTTGGCAATCCCGTTACAAAATCCATCGTAATATGCTCCCATTTCCATTCTGGGATTTCCAACGGTTGCAACATCCCACCAGGTTTACAATGCTGTGCCTTCACTTGTTGGCACGTCAAACACTTGGCTACATCCACCTTCATTCCATTCCACCAATAATGCTGTCGAAGGTTCTGGTACATTTTCGTGCTGCCCGGATGAATGCTATAATTGCTCCTATGAGCTTCCGATAAAATCTCTTCCTTAAGCTCCAAATCATCTGGCACGCACAACCGTCCTCGAAACTTAAGAATTCCGTCCTCGGACGCTTGGAAGTCCGGTTTCCTCTTAGTGCCATCCATCTCCAGAATTTTCTGAATCTCAGGGTCCGTAGACTGTAACGCCTTAATCTTGGTTTGCACTTCCGGTTCAATCCTTAACGTTGCCACCAAACTGGAGAGGCGTCCTACCTCGAACTTAAACTCTGAGTCTCGCGCTTCTTCCAATAAAATCCACTCTTTGACTATTAATTGCGCGATGCTCGATTTCCGGCTTAAGGCATCCGCTACCCGGTTGGCTTTTCCGGGATTATACAAAATATCACAGTCATAGTCCTTCAAAAGCTCCATCCAACGCCTTTGCCTCATATTCAATTCTTTCTGCGAAAATAAATACTTGAGGCTCTGATGGTCCGTATAAATTTGGAACCTTTCTCCATATAAATAGTGCCTCCAAATCTTAAGTGCGAAAACAATTGCTGCCAATTCCAAGTCGTGAGTTGGGTAGTTCATCTCATGAGGCCTTAACTGACGCGATGCATAAGCAACCACCCTTCCATGTTGCATTAGCACGCATCCCAATCCCTTGAGCGAAGCATCGCTATAAATCTCATATCCTCCCGGTCCTGAAGGGATCGTTAGCACTGGCGCAGTCGTCAATCTCTGCTTCAACTCCTGAAAGCTCACTTCGCACTTCTCAGTCCATTCAAACTTAGTCTCCTTCTTAAGCAACCTTGTCAATGGAGTGGCTATTGCTTGAGAATCTTTCCACAAATCGTCTATAGTAACTCCGCCGGTCCTAAGAAGCTTCGAACCTCGCAACCGTCGTCGGTCTCGGCCAATCCATCACTTGCTTCAATCTTTGCCGGATCCACGGAGATTCCTTCTCCGGAAATTACATGCCCAAGAAATGCTACTCGGTTCAGCCAAAACTCGCACTTGCTAAACTTAGCGTACAGTGCATGCTCTCTTAACGTTCGTAGAACCTTTTCCAAGTGTACCTCATGTTCCTCGGGGCTCTTTGAATACACCAAAATATCATCTATGAAGACGATGACGAACTGATCCAAAAACTCTTTGAATACCCGATTCATTAAGTCCATAAAAGCAGCAGGGGCATTAGTTAGTCCAAACGGCATTACCGTGAATTCATAGTGCCCATACCTCGTCCTGAATGCCGTCTTTAGGATATCCTCCTTTTTAATCCTCAGTTGATGGTACCCCGTCCTCAAGTCGATCTTTGAAAACATCGATGCTCCTTGCAACTGATCAAATAGGTCATCTATCCTTGGTAGTGGGTACTTATTCTTAATGGTCACCTGATTTAACTGTCTGTAGTCTATGCACAACCTCAAAGATCCATCTTTCTTTCTCACGAATAACACCGGTGCTCCCCATGGAGACGCACTCGGACGGATAAAGCCTCTATCTAGCAACTCCTGCATTTGGACCTTCAATTCCTTCAATTCAGACAGTGACATCCTATAGGGCGCTTTCGAGATTGGTTTCGTCCCTGGGGCTAACTCAATCACGAACTCCACTTCTCTATCAGGTGGCAGTCCCGGCAATTCCTGAGGAAAGACATCGGGAAAATTGCACACCACGGCTATATCTTCTAGCCTCGGCTCTCCAGCCGTCGAATCAACTACATTTGCCAGAAATCCTTGGCACCCTTCATTCAGAAGCTTGGCTACCTCGAGCGACGAAATCCAAGGGATCGAGGTTCCTCCTCGGTTTCCCACAAACTCAAATCTAGGATGTCCAACCGGATTAAATTGGATCACCCTGCTACTACAATCCATAACAGCTCTCTGTTTGACTAGCCAGTCCATACCGACAATCACATCAAAGTCATGCATAGATAAAACCGCCAAATCTATCCTTTCTTCCCTATCACCGATCACTATCTTACAATCGGGACATCCAAACGCAATCAGCACTTTATCATTCAATGGAGTAGTAACACACAGCATAACATCAAGCGATTTCGGCTCAATCCCAGATAATTCAACGAACTGCTCAGATATAAATGAATGCGACGCCCCCGGATCAAACAAGGCATATGCAGCATGATCACAGAGAGAGACAGTACCTGTGACCACGCCAGGCGCGTCCTGAGCCTCCCTCCTTGCCATTGCATACACCCGGCCTTGGGCCGGCGGCCTATTCTGATTGGCCGGCTGGATAGCTCTAGTTTGATTTCCATTCCGGGGCGGCGGCGGCGGGAGTGCAGGCGACCCAGCCTGCCTATTGTTGGGGCAGTCCTTCATCTGATGGCCCCTTCCGCCACATACAAAACAGACTCCGCTCCTATTTGGGCACGGTCCATTCCAGTGCCTTCCTCCACATAGCCTACATGGGGCGTTCTGATAACGGTTTGGCTTCCCAATATTCCTCCGAACGGGAGGGACAAAGCGACTATTTCCTGCCATGGGCCTTTTCCCAAGTTGACGGTCATCCCTAGTCGGGGCATACCGCGATCCAGAAGCGGCGGCCCGATCCGTTTGATCTCGCTCAATTGCCTGGGCCCTTTCATATATCTCGTTATAGCCCCTCAAGTTCAATGAGATCATCTGACTGCGAAGGTCCGGTTTCAGCCCATCCCGGAACCTCCTAGCTTTGTCCATTGGGTCCTCCACCATTCTGGGGGCAAATTTGGACAGCCTTGCAAACTCGGCTTCATACCGATCTATCGACCTCGACCTTGGCGAGTCTCATGAATTCGGCCAATTTCGTTCTCGGGCACTTTCCGAGAAATACTTGCCGTTGAAGGTCTCGGTAAAAACGGTCCAATTTGGGGCGTGCACTGGGGAACACTTGACCTCGGTGGCTCTCCACCAATCGCCGGCATTTTCCGAAGCCGGTAGGCTGCTAAGGTTACTTTCTCTTCCTCGCACACCCCAAAGACCCTCAAAAGCTTTCTCTAGCTCTTCTACCCATCTCGGTGCAGCCTCGGGGTCACCTCTCCCATCAAACTTTGGGGGTTTCAACCTCAGAAACTGTTCGACCAGCTTGGACATTGGCCTGATCGCATTTACTCGCACTGAACCAGGATTTCCACCAATCACATTATTCCCCTGACCTCCATTATCCCCAATAATCTCACTAGCAGCTGCAGCGGCAACAGTAGCACTTCTTTCCCCCGTCTGTCTACCTGATAATATTCCCGCATCCTCTAGCGCCCTCCACATTTCATCTACCCTGGGGTCCCCCATAACTCCAGCTAACGGGGCTACGCGACCTCGACCTCTACCTCGACCTCTACCTCGACCTCGACCTCGACTGCTCATCTTACCGATTCTCACAAACGCTCACCTGCTAAGTTCCACGCAGGAATTAAAAACCTAGGCCAACTATACCAGTCTAAGCCCTAGGCAGTGAATCACAACACAATTCACTAAGCAGGCAGCCAATCACAACCGACAACCAATCACAACCAACATAGTTCGTGCACTTACCTCAAGTCCTGACGCACCTGCACCTCACACATTATTGCATAAAAATCACTTATCAAATCATAATCACACAGTCTGGGGTACGCATGGCACACAAATCTCCCTAACCTGGCTACCCCAAAGTCATCGCTCCTTATCACTCCGGGTTTCGACCACCTGGGATCGAGCCGACCTTGCTCGATACCAAATCAACGGGATGTCACGCCCGAACCCCAACGGGCTCGCGACACCCCTTCCACGGTCGTATTGAAAGCGACGTCCCGGGACGCGTCGCCGACCCAAACGAACTACGCAAGCGGAAGCAAAATAAAACAACCCGGACAACTAACAAGATGACAAAAGGATAGCACGAAACAATAATTTCATAAAGCAATCATTAATACAAAACAAGTAATCCGGGCTACCAATTTAAAAACCACAATTTTCAAAAGGGGCGGTGGTTTACAAGCCTATCTCCTCTACAAAAATATACTCAAAAGACGGGGTAAATTGATCTATCCTTCAATCCCCGTAGTACTCGGCGGCATCTTCAAGTCGATCACGGTCGCGGATCTGAAAGTGGTTATATAATAACCATGAGAACGAGTCTCAATAAGCAACCCCCTATACCCCACGTAGGCCAATGCGTACCCAGACAAGTCGTACATGCAATCTACATCTACCCCATAACATATAAAATAAAATCGCATCCTTATACTTACCTCACCATCGAACCCATGCTAACACTGCACGTTAGTCATAACATGGTAATGCAGTAATAGTAACTAAATAGCACATCGCAATTGCTCAAACGCCAACCACACTTGCACGCAATTCATCTTACTAATTCGACCACACATTCAACCAGCCAATTCCATCACACGCTCAACCAGCCAATTCAATCACACTCAACCTGGACATTTCAATCACACTCAAATCGCATGCGTGGCCGAACATCTTTCTCACGACCGCGCCATCTGCGCCAGTCCATTCTCACGCCGCGCCATCGCGCCTCGGGCCCACTTGGCACACCGGCCATTCATGCTTTCACACGGACCGCCGTCAACACGTCCCAAGTCCGTAGCCCTCCGATCAATCCGGGCTCAATTTCCAATGACCGACGTAAATACGTCCCGGTCCAACACACCTCTAACGGGCCACCGTCAACACGTCTCAAGCCCGCATCCATTTGGCACACCGGCCATTCATGCCTTCACACGGACCGCCGTCAACACGTCCCAAGTCCGTAGCCCTCCGATCAATCCGGGCTTATAATCGACAGGCATGCACACGCCATTCAATTCAATCAATTTCACGCCAATTACATCAAACGATCCATATTCACAATTCGCCACGTCAATCCACAAACCCGACGTTCAAGTCGGCCACGTACGATCACCCAAATCATGCACATCATTTTATCCAATCCAATTAGCACAATCATATCATAATATAATTAAATTAAATCACGCTCTAACCGTTCTAAACCCGAGACAAGTCATAAAATACCCAAAGTACTAGGTAGGGTTTAGAAAGTCACTTACTTCAATTTGGCTCGGGAAAAACCCGAACGGCTCAAAAACGGGCCGGATGAACAGTGCCGAATGAACAATGCCGGCCTTGATGAACAAGTGTTCGGAATGAACAAGTATGGGCCCCGGATGAACAAGTACTCGGAATGAACAAGATGCGGGCCCGGATGAACAAGTACCCGGAATGAGCAGTGGCGGGCCCCCGATGAACAAGACCCCGGAATGAACAGTGACGCCCTCCCCCCTCGGGCCGAACCGTACGAGCAAGGGCGCGGGCTCGGCCACGGCTCGGGGCACTCTCGGCCGGGCGGGTGGTCGCCGGGGCTAGGTGGTGGTAGACGGGCGGCGACGGCGGCCGGTGCGGCTGTGCGCGCGGCGCTGGTCGAGGCGGCGCGGGAGAGCCCCAAACAGGGGAGGCGTCGGGGAGGAAGAAAAACAGAGGAAGAAAGGTGGTGGCGGCCAAGGGGAAGCGGCGGGTCGGCGGAGGTGGGCGAGGGGAGAGGCGGGTGGCGGAGGCGGGCGGCGGCGGCCCGGAACAGTGGCTCGCGGCGGCGTTTGAAGGCGGGGCCGAACGGGGAAGGCGTCGGGGAAGAGAGAAACGGGGAGAGGAAGTCGCGCGGCGGCGGAGGTGGCACAGCGGCGTCTCGGGTGGCGGGCGCCGGAGGGACAGTAAGCCGGCGGACGGCTGGGCAACAGGCCGGACCACGCGCGGACGCAGCTGACAAAGTAGCGCTCGCGTGCAGCGTGGGCGTGGGCCGGCGACGGGCGGACAAGGCCGACGAGCGCGGTCGCGGGCGACGAGCGGCAGCACAGCTCGGTCGGGCGACGGCGGCGACGGCAGCGACGGCGACGGGGCTGGAGGCGAGCTCGGTCGGCGTCGGCTGGTGCGAGCAGAAGCAAAAACGATCGAGCGACGAAGGAGGAGGAAGAAGAAGAAGAAAGAAGGAAGAAGAAAAAGAAAAAGGAAGAGAGAGAAGGAGAAGGGATGGGTCTGACACAGGGGAGAAGGGATAGACGTGCGCAGGGGGAGGTGACCGGGGAGAGAGAGAGAGAGAGAGAGAGAGAGAGAGAGAGAGAGAGAGAGAGAGAGAGAGAGAGAGAAAACAATAAAAAAATTTAACTTCAATCAAATATTAAATGCGATCCGATGACCCAAATTCAAAATCGAAAGCGATCTACCGGTCCAAAATAAGCCTCGCATATAAAAAAGGGACAAAGGCCGAATTAATTAAATCAAACTATATCGAGGGAGGTCTACTAGTCCAAATTCGCACCCGGTCAAAAACTCCCCTTTTTCCATTATTCCTGACAATCTCAACGCTGGCTACGATAATATTGACACCGTCCAATTTATTTCGTCTTGAAACTCCCGAAAATCGACTGTCAAGTTCGGGGTCTAAATAACGGCCAAATTCGATCGAGCGCGATTCTAGCGAAATCTCAATTTTAAAACAATAACCGAGAGTGATCAGTTCCCGGGCGAGATTTTACTATAAGCACACTGACGAATTACACGTTTTATAAATCCCAACTATGGGCCGAAATTCGGAATGTCACATTGCTTATTTAATACAACCGAAGTTTCTAATTCAGAAGGAATACAATTGAAAGTAGATACATATAGTAAGATGCCATCAATTTCATCTTTGCTAGCTTTTCGCACACTGATTTGATTCCCTGAACGCACGCTTAATTGTCACCTGCTGCAATTCAGCTAAGACGTCCCTGCGTTCATTCAAAATTGAGTGCAAGTCAGGGATGTCAACACTAGCTTTTTGCAAGGCATATATCACATGGCTGGCATCAGATTCAATCTCTAAACATGTTATATTTAAATCAAGGCAATAGTTTCCCCCCTTATAGCCCACACTTCCACAGCGAACCTTAAAGTCTAATCGGTAATAATAGTTACTATAAGGGAAGATAATCCTACTGAGATAATGCATTCTAATGTGGAAGTGCACACACAAGGCAGTGAACTTGAGAAACGATTTGGTAAGGAAGAGACTAACCCGTTTACCAGCTGGTCGATGGCCTTGAACTTTGCGTTTCCCTCTCGGACATCCCATCCCAGATTTAGCTGCATTCTGCTGGTCGAGTTGTGTTTCGAGAGCATACTCACAAATGGTCCAATCACTATCATCCTTACCGTCTGGATCGTCCAGAGCAACTGCCACTTCTTCCGTTTTCAGAACCTTTGCAATGTGCTCCACTGCCAAATCTATGAACCTCATAGCTATTCTCTTCCTCTTCTTATTTACAGACATATGGGCTACATGCAAAGCCTTACGCATAAACTCACCCGTAAACGAATTGATCGGAACTCCATCACGTGCAGTCCATGCGCTGGGATGTCCACCGGCAGACTGTCTTTGGCAGATTTTGTCCATCGTTTCACCAAGTAGCGAGACGGTATCTTGAAGATATTCATGAAAATGAGTACTTTCAAGGCATGAACACATAAAATACCGACCGACTCGAACTTCCCACAGCTACATGCCAATGTTGAATCGGAAGGATCAAACTTGACGGTCTGTGCCTTTCTGCTGCTGAGGGTCTGTGTCTTTGTGCTGCCTTTTTCGGTCAACTGAAACATGCGGAGAGTCTCTGTGCTGTTAATTTCTTCAACTGCCAGCGTTAGGCAATCGATAAACTCCTCTCGGAACATCTTGAAGATAGTTCGAGTATAGAGTCGTTCAGCTTCTTTCTCCATTGGACTCTGGTTTTCAAATTCACCTTGTTTTTCTCGCAGAGCATGTCTTCGCGAAATTCTTCTGTGCGCATCTTCTTGGTCGCCTGTTCACACTGGCATGCAATTTCTGTTAGCGTCATGGTCTCGGAGGAGAGATTCCTGACAATGTGACTAGCATCCTCATCATTTTGTATGGAGAGTAGGCCGACAGAAAAGACGTTCGTCGTGAACGCATGAGACCATTTCTCGTGCATTTTATACAAAGAAGCAAGCCAGGAGTTGTCATGCAGCTTGTACTTTCCTATAAAAGAATTCCACTTCGACTTGAATTCTTCCTGCGAGTGGAGGAAGACGCACTCCCTGAAGAGGTTGACAACATCGAGTTGGCTACTCAAAGGAGACAGGTACTTCCTGAAACTGTTCAAGATAGACCAAGCAGGCAGACAATGGCAGGTCTCTGGCAAGACAAGAGATACGGCTTCGGCGATTTCTTCACTGAATTCAGTAATGATTGTCTGCGGTTTCTGCCAGTTCATTGATTCAAGGAAACTATCGAGCAGCCAATGGAACGAACCCACCGTTCGATCGACCAAGAGACCGTGTCCGAATATGGTGGGCTGCCGGTGATGATTAAGTCCCAAAATGTTGCACAGATTATGCCATACTTGGTGATCCAAGTTCTGTTGTCCAGGACTAGAATCTCGCTGAAATGCTCGTAATCGAGCTTGGACCGGCTATCCCTCCAGAAAAAATTCTCCATGCCGCGTGCCTCTACCACTCGCAACGAGTAACAGGAACAACAATCTAACCTCGCAAGACACTTGAAGTGATCAATCAAGTCCTGTGTCTCCTCAGGCGCAGGTCTTGGGCAATCAACATCACTGTAATCCGCATCGGAAACAAGAGCCCGCTCTCCAACCGCCCTAACTTCATCCACAATCCCACTTGTCGAAAGAGCCGTTGTCGCGTGATTATGCTCGAGAACGACCTTGGAGATCTTCCACGTTCCATCGTTTGCCACGCACTCGATTTTAGCATCACATCCTGTTCTCATGTCCCGTCTTTTGTACCGCGTCGCCTTGGCGATCTGCTCTTTGGACTTGTCGTTTTGGTAAGAGCATAAGAAGGCCTTGTCGCTTCCAGATTATTCTGCTTTTCCCATTCTTACATTGAAATCGGTTTGTTTAGCGTAGCTGCGGTAAAACTTATACACGGCCATCTCTGAATCGAACTCCATCCCCACTCTCGGCTCACTGGGGTTGGACTCGAGCTCCCCCTCAACTATATTAGCGCCAGAAGTGGAATGCAATTCATCTTCGTTGCCGATGGCCTGCGGCAATGAAATTTTTTTTTATATGTTTTTTAAAATGAAAAAGAAAAAAGCAAAAAAGATATATCACATACCATTCCTAAAGAGTGATCGCTGCCCGGCTGGTTCGAGGCCATCTCCTCGGGCTCGCCAGCTCTGCGGTTGCGATGGTGGATGCCGCAGACCGAGAGGTCGTTGGACCCATGTTCAAGACTAGCCGTTGCCCCCTCCAATGTGACATCGGCCATGAGTAAGAAGTCGCTGTCGACGAGGCCGAATCCGAGGGCTGCAGCTGCAGAAAGAATCAGCTCTTTCCACGACGTCTCCTCCAGTTACTGGTATGAACATAATGAGTAAAAGATGGCCTCCGGGCCCACCGAATATTGGCCCGCAGCAATCCTCCCAGAGGAGGCAGCAGCAACACAAACAGTCGTAAACCTATTACATTATAATAGATAATGATAATGCAAAAGATAGGCAAAAAATCTGCGTGACTTTTGTAAAAAAAGTCCCTGTGGCCAGCGAGGGCTGCGACGTCCTCACCTGTGGCTGGTCGCCGGCCATGGCAACCAGCCCCGCGACCAGCCACGGAGAAGGAAGGAAGGCAAAAAAAAAGGAAAAAAAAAACATTAAAAATTCAATAATTTTTAAAAATTATTTAAAAATTCCACGTTAGCGTTGGCATTTCACATAGGACGGTTGGCGTCCACGCGAGCGATTTCCAGTCTAAATTGATCGGATGGACTGAATTGGTACCGATATGAAAAAGGTTTAGGACTGAATTAGTCTAATTGAAAGATTTAGGACTGAATTGATACGAATGCAATAGGTTTAGGACTTTTTTGATACTTTTCCCGCAGCGACACAACACGCAGGCACTGCCAACCCAAAAAAATTAAAAAAAAAAAAAAATAAATCCGAGGGACAATTGATTTCAATGTTTGCCGCTAGCCCAACTTAAGTAAACTTTTTCCACGTTATTCGATATTGCAGCTAAATGAAGGAGCCAAGCAACGCAATATATCGGAAATACACGTAGAAAGTTACATTTTCTTTTACTTAATCAAGACATATTATTTCTTTTCATCAAAACTAAATGAAGAAAATTATGTAGCTATTTAGCGATTATCAACGAATTACCTTATCCATTTTAAGAAAAGAATATTGGGCGATGCTAATTAGGTTGCGGTGGAGTTGAGGGGAAGCCGAGGAGATGGGTGGTCTCTTCTCTTCCAAGTGGATGGTCTCACGGGGTGTGGCATTGTATTGCTCCTTTTCTTTCACTTCTCAATCCCCATCTAAACATTGATGTCCATTTCACACGACCTAGGGGGGCAAAGGTAGGTGCATCCATTAGGAATGCGAAAAACAAAAAAACGCATTTGGCCGCTCGAATTGCTGAGCCTGGATAGGGAAGGACCGACTGGAGATTATTCTATCCGGCATTGAGTGGCGTCCCTTCAATGGGATAAACATGGACAAATTATGATAACTTTGCCTGTAGCGCCTCCGGAAAATCCTGAGTCGATTACCGTCAAGCCGTTGCACCTAAGATTCCTAAAACATTTCCTTAATCATGTGAACGGGGCAAGTCATTGTGATGGCCCGAGTGACGGTGCGCGGGGAGGAGGGATGGTGGTGCGTCCGTCCCTCGGTCCTCGAACGTGTACAGGGAGGGGGCGCGTCTCTTGTCCCACATTGCCGAGGGGGGAGTTCTGGACTGGTTTATAAGATTCGGGTTCTCTATCTGTACATAATCATTTTCTAGGCGAAGCCCAGAGAAACAAAACTGTGAGGGCCCAGTGGGGCTCAAAGCGGACAATATGTATATAGTGGCATACCCCGGGGCGTAATAGTTACGGGATTGATCGGAAACCTAAAAGAAACCCCCTAATTGCTAGAAAGAAGTCAGCTAGCTAATAAAAAAGTCAATTGGTCTAAATGCGATGAAACGAGAGCCTAAAGTCCGGAGGTTCAATTAATTACATGAGGGAAAGGATTAGCACTCCCGACACCATTTAGGTACCATATTCTCCTGTTGAAATTCTTTCACATGCTTTTTATGGAGTGATTTTAAACACATCTAATTATCTTTGAATTTTGAAATTATAAAATATCGTTATGTGGACTCAAACAAAAATAATCGCATGAACTCACAGATATCGACCCAATGTCAGGTCCATTGCATCTAGAATGTTCTTTGTATAGTCAAGAAATCAGCATACTCTCAACATGTACAGCACTCACGGCAAATGTTAGATATATTTAGATTATCTTATATTATTTACGATATTCCATATATCGATAATATTCTAGATATCTACAATGTTCTGAATATCTTGTAATTGATTGTGTAATATTTTGTTACCGTAGATAGTTAATCTATAAAGCCTATAAATAGGCTCATGTACTCCTTGTTATTTCATCATCAAATATATATAAATTCTTCTCTTTTGTTTTATAATACAAGACTACTCCGTCACTCAAAGTTTCCAAAAAGCCAAACTTTGCCACCAAAAACCACCACATGCGCCACCCAAACATTTTGCGCGTGAGATCCATGCGCCCATGTGAGCCGCATGTGATTAGAAGGCCGGCCCAGTTATTGCTGACGTCATCTGCAACGTCACCCAACACATCACCACCACGTTACTGCCATGTCATTGGCCAAGTTGTCATTGACTGTTGATTATTGGCCGTTGACCGAGGTATTTCGACATGCTTATTTCATTTTTGGGGCCCATCTCCTACCCCTGCTATGGGAGGATCCTGCTACTTCGTGATTTTTGTGGATAATCATTCTTGTTATACATGGCTATATTTTATGAATCAACGATTTGAAATAGCTTGTATCTACAATGATTTTGTTACCATGATTAAAACACATATTTCTCAAAATTTCAAGATATTCCGTACTAATAATGCCATGGAATATAGAGACACAAAGTTTCTTAGAATTATTTCTCAAAATGGTACTATCATTCATCATTTATCTTAGGTGTTGTTCGCAGTCATGGAATCTTAGCCTCTTGTTTTGAACAGTTTTGGGCAGAGGCTTCTCATACTGCTATATACACTATCATTCACACTCCGTCACCTACTATAGGTAATATCTTTCCTTTTGAGTGTTTGTATGGCAGTGTTCTTAATTATAATCTTCTTCGAGTATTTGGCAGTGCTTGTTTTGTCCATCTTCTTCCAAATGAACACATGAAATTAGAACCACGTGCTCGTTTCTATTGTTTCCTTGGGTATGGAATTGAGCACAAAGGGTATCGATGTTGGGATCCCATCTCTAATTGTCTCTACGCATCTCGTCATGTTACCTTTTGGGAACACAAGATGTTCTTTTCGCTTCGTCCTTTCGACTCCTTTCCTACTACTTCCTTTTTTACCAAACCTTCGGTGGATCTATGTTCTAAAGATACATCAATTGAATCTTCCTCTTTGGAGTTATCCTCTATTAATCTTGATGTAGGTACCTCTGGTAATCCCACTTTGGCAGCTCTTGACTTGTCTGCACTATCTGCGGATTCTCCACCATTGGTCATTCCCTCTTCTCTTGTTTGTCATTCCACTTATGTAAGTCAACCTTCTATTCAACTTCGTGATTTCCATTGGTACTCTAGTATTGCTTCCCTTCACGAGCCTTGCCAATACAGAGAAGCTCGAACTAACCCTCTTTGGCAGCAAGTAATGGCAGATGAGTTGCAAACATTAAACAATTCTCATACATGGGATTTCGTTGATTTGCCTCCTAGAAAGGCAGCAATAGGTTCTAGATGGGTGTATAAGATCAAGACTAAGGTAGATGGTACAGTGGAAAGCTACAAAGCTAGACCAGTAGCAAAAGGCTTTACTCAGGAGTATGGAATCAACTATGACGAGACATTTGCTCTAGTTGCACGTCTTACTTATATTCGAAGTCTTCTTGCTATTGCAGCTATGAAGAGATGGCCTCTATTCCAGATGGATGTTAAAAATGCATTTCTTAATGGCGATCTTAATGAGGAAGTATATATGGAGCGTCCTCCTGGGTACACTACTACTTCTAATAAAGGTTGTCGTTTACAAAAAGCTTTATATGAACTGAAAGAGGCTCCTCGTGCATGGTATTCAAAGTTTAGTTCTATCATGGAACATCTTGGTGTTTGATCCAGTCCCCATGACAATGCTCTATTTGTTCAAAGAACATCTTGTGGGTATCTACTACTATTTTATGTGGACGACATGATTATTACTGGTGATAATCATATTGGTATTGTCACGCCCCGTATCCCACGAAGCATGACCATCCCGCTTATAGGTCGAAATAGTAGTGCGATAGTGCGACGCTCCCAGGACACATCGCCGACCCAAAACCCAACACAGAGATCAAGCCACAAGCGAAAGCACGATATATAAATAAATATATATCACTCAGACAAAATAAACACGAGCCAAGGATAGCTACACACGAGTGATCAGCAAATAAAAACAACTATACTCTTTTATAAACATATAAAAGCTTATACAAAATCCATTTACAAAGAGCCAAAACCAAAAACGAGTCGCGGCCAAGACGAACAAAAAGGATCAGTGGCCGGAGTACTAAACTGAGCTAAGATGGGCTTCAGTCAAAAAGATATAGCCCATACTAAAGTATAGTATCTAATATACGCATTCCCCTCCCCTACTGGATGTACAGAAAAAGTCTTCTCAATGAAGTGGGGAATCCCAAAACGCACGAGCGGCTCCGCCATCTTTACTGCCGGTGGTCTGAAATATCGATTTTCCAACGACCGTGAGAAAACTCAGCAAGTATAAACCACTAATCCTAAACTAGGCTAACGTGCACCTCCAAATAGGTAAATCGACACAATGAACTCATGAACCAGTAAATTATTATAAATTTGCCCGGGCTCATAGCCCAATTCATTATCTTAGCCTTGCAAGTTAGGCATTTGAATTCAATGTGAATCATGCACAATTATAACGACCCGACGGCCCACAATTGAATATAGCGACCCGTAGGCCCGACCTGAAGGCCCACAATTTAATAAAACGACCCGTAGGCCCGACCCGAAGGCCAACAGTTTGTTAAATCGACCCGTAGGCCCGACCCGAAGGCCAACAAGTATGATAAATCGACCCAGAGGCCCGACCCGAAGGCCAAAAGTCTCGATAAATCGACCCGTAGGCCGGACCCGAAGTCCAACAGATCGATAAATCGACCCGTAGGCCCGACCAAAGCCAACAGGTTTGATAA